AGTCCGGAGTTGCATGTCACATCTCGCTCTGGGACACCTCCATGTGCCCTTCAGATTTCTACTTCTAGAAGTCTCTGGTACCAGGCTGGCTGGAGTGCTTCTCATGCATGTCCCCTAGTGCCCTCCATGCTAATGACCCATACACTCTTCTGTCTTTTCCTGATAAGTGGCAGATTTGAGGCAGGGCCCATGTGTCTCAAAGGTGATGCCCAGTTCCTGGTGTGAGGCTGGGTTGCCGCAGGTGCCCAGTGAGCATCTGCTGTGAGGAACCACTGAGTGAACAAGGTCACCCCTGTGTGAAGGGGCCAGTGAGTGAACGAGGTCACCCCTGTGTGAAGAGTCAGCAAGTGAATGACATCACCCATGTGTGAGGGAGCCAGTGAATGACGTCATCCTGTGTGAAGGAAGCAGTGAGTGAATGACGTCACTCTGTGTGAAGAATCAGTGAGTGAATGACATTACCCCATGTGTGAAAGAGACAGTGAGTGAATGACATCACCCCTGTGTGAAGAGTCAGTGAGTGAATGAAGTCAACCCTGTGTGAAGGAGTCAGTGAGGGAATGACGTCACCCCTGTGTGAAGAGTCAGTGAGAGAGTCCCTGGGAAGAGTGAGGATGACGTCACCCTGTGGGAAGAGTCGTGAGTGAATGACGTCACCTGTGTGAAGAGTCAGTGAGTGAATGAGTCACCTGGTGAGGAGCGTGAGGAATGACATCACCCCTGTGTGAAGAGTCAGTGAGTGAATGAAGTCAACCCTGTGTGAAGGAGTCAGTGAGGGAATGACGTCACCCCTGTGTGAAGAGTCAGTGAGTGAATGACGTCACCCCTGTGTGAAGAGTCAGTGAGTGAATGACGTCACCCCTGTGGGAAGAGTCAGTGAGTGAATGACGTCACCCCTGTGTGAAGAGTCAGTGAGTGAATGACGTCACCCCTGTGTGAAGGAGCCTGTGAGTGAATGACGTCATCCCTGTGTGAAGTAGTGAGTAAATGACATCACCCTGTGTGAAGAGTCAGTGAGTGAATGATGTCACCCCCTGTGTGAAGGAGTCAGTGAGTGAATGATGTCACCCCTGTGTGAAGAGTCAGTGAGTGAATGACATCACCCCTGTGTGAAGAGTCAGTGAGTGAATGAAGTCAACCCTGTGTGAAGGAGTCAGTGAGTGAATGACATCACCCCTGTGTGAAGGAGCCTGTGAGTGAATGACGTCATCCCTGTGTGAAGTAGTGAGTAAATGACATCACCCTGTGTGAAGAGTCAGTGAGTGAATGATGTCACCCCCTGTGTGAAAGAGACAGTGAGTGAATGACATCACCCCTGTGTGAAGGAGACAGTGAGTGAATGACGTCACCCTGTATAAAGGAGTCAGTGAGTGAATGAAGTCAATGCTGTGTGAGGGAGCCAGTGAGGGAATGACATCACCCCTGTGTGAAGAGTCAGTGAATGTCACCCCTGTGTGAAGAGTGAGTGAATGACGTCACGCTGTGTGAAGAGCCAGTAAGTGAATGACGTCATCCCTATATGAAGAGTGAGTGAATGATGTCACCCCTATGTGAAGGAGCCAGTGAGTGATGTCACCCCTGTGTGAAGAGTCAGTTAGTGAATGATGTCACCACTGTGTGAAGGAGCCAGTGAGTGAATGACATCACCCTTGTGTGATGAAGCCAGTGAGTGATTGATGTCATCCCCATGTGAAGAGTCAGTGAATGAATGACGTCAACCCTTGTGTGAAGGGCCCAGTGAGTAAATGACATCACCCTTGTGTGAAGAGTGAGTGAATGACGTCACCCTGTATGAAACAGACAGTGAATGACATCAACCCTGTGTGAAGGAGTCAGTGAGTGAATGACGTCACCCCTGTGTGAAGAGTCAGTGAGTGAATGAAGTCAACCCTGTGTGAAAGAGTCAGTGAGGGAATGACATTACCCCATGTGTGAAAGAGACAGTGAGTGAATGACATCACCCCTGTGTGAAGAGTCAGTGAGTGAATGAAGTCAACCCTGTGTGAAGGAGTCAGTGAGGGAATGACATCACCCCTGTGTGAAGGAGCCTGTGAGTGAATGACGTCATCCCTGTGTGAAGGAGCCTGTGAGTGAATGACATCACCCCTGTGTGAAGGAGCCTGTGAGTGAATGACGTCATCCCTGTGTGAAGTAGTGAGTAAATGACATCACCCTGTGTGAAGAGTCAGTGAGTGAATGATGTCACCCCCTGTGTGAAAGAGACAGTGAGTGAATGACATCACCCCTGTGTGAAGGAGACAGTGAGTGAATGACATCACCCCTGTGTGAAGGAGACAGTGAGTGAATGACGTCACCCTGTATAAAGGAGTCAGTGAGTGAATGAAGTCAATGCTGTGTGAGGGAGCCAGTGAGGGAATGACATCACCCCTGTGTGAAGAGTCAGTGAATGTCACCCCTGTGTGAAGAGTGAATGACGTCACGCTGTGTGAAGAGCCAGTAAGTGAATGACGTCATCCCTATATGAAGAGTGAGTGAATGATGTCACCCCTATGTGAAGGAGCAGTGAGTGATGTCACCCTGTGTGAAGAGTCAGTTAGTGAATGATGTCACCACTGTGTGAAGGAGCCAGTGAGTGAATGACATCACCCTTGTGTGATGAAGCCAGTGATTGATGTCATCCCCATGTGAAGAGTCAGTGAATGAATGACGTCAACCCTTGTGTGAAGGGCCCAGTGAGTAAATACATCACCTTGTGAAGAATGAAATAAAAAAAATGAAACAAATGTGAAGGAGTAGTGAATGACGTCACCCTGTGTGAAGAGTCAGTGAGGAATGAAGTCACCCTGTGTGAAAGAGCAGGAATGACATACCCATGTGTGAAAGAACAGTGAGTGTGCATCCTGTGTGAGATCAGTGAGTGAATGAAGTCAACCCTGTGTGAAGGGAGGGAAGCTCAGTGAGGAGGGGAATGACGATTGTGTGGAGTGGACATCACCCCTGTGTGAAGGAGCCTGTGAGTGAATGACGTCATCCCTGTGTGAAGTAGTGAGTAAATGACATCACCCTGTGTGAAGAGTCAGTGAGTGAATGATGTCACCCCTGTGTGAAAGAGGACAGTGAGTGAATGACATCACCCTGTGTAAAGAAGGAGAAGTCACCCTGTAAGGAGTAGATGAAGTCAATGCTGTGTGAGGGAGCCAGTGAGGGAATGACATCACCCCTGTGTGAAGAGTCAGTGAATGTCACTGTGTGAAGAGTGAATGACGTCACCCTGTGTGAAGAGCCAGTAAGTGAATGACGTCATCCCTATATGAAGAGTGAGTGAATGACGTCACCCCTATGTGAAGGAGCCAGTGAGTGATGTCACCCCTGTGTGAAGAGTCAGTTAGTGAATGATGTCACCACTGTGTGAAGGAGCCAGTGAGTGAATGACATCACCCTTGTGTGATGAAGCCAGTGAGTGATTGATGTCATCCCCATGTGAAGAGTCAGTGAATGAATGACGTCAACCCTTGTGTGAAGGGCCCAGTGAGTAAATGACATCACCCTGTGTGAAGAAGTGAATGAATAGACAGTAATCACCCTGATAAGTGAATGAATCATGTGTGAAGAGTCAGTGGACTAGTGGAATGACGTCATCCCTGTGTGAAGAGTCAGTGAGTGAATGATGTCACCCCCTGTGTGAAGAGTCAGTGAGTGAATGACATCACCCCTGTGTGATGAAGCCAGTGAGTGATTGATGTCATCCCCATGTGAAGAGTCAGTGAATGAATGACGTCAACCCTTGTGTGAAGGGCCCAGTGAGTAAATGACATCACCCTTGTGTGAAGAGTGAGTGAATGACGTCACCCTGTATGAAACAGACAGTGAATGACATCACCCCTGTGTGAAAGAGTCAGTGAGTGAATGACGTCACCCCTGTGTGAAAGAGTCAGTGAGTGAATGAAGTCAACCCTGTGTGAAGAGTCAGTGAGTGAATGAAGTCAACCCTGTGTGAAAGAGTCAGTGAGTGAATGACGTCATCCCCTGTCTGACAAGTCAGTGAGTGAATGACATCACCCTTGTGTGATGAGTGTGAGTGATGACATCACCCCTGTGTGAAAGAGACAGTGAGTGAATGACACCACCCCTGTGTGAATGGGCAGTGAGTGAATGACGTCATCCCTGTGTGAAGGAGCCAGTGAGTGAATGACGTCATCCCTGTGTGATGAGTCAGTGAGGGAATGACATCACCCCTGTGTGAAGAGTCAGTGAGGGAACAACATGTGTAGGCAGGCACCCCTCGATCTACAGGCAGGTGGGCACATAGCCTGGGCGGGCCTCTTGTCTCAGGTCCTCCGTGGATGTCACTCTACCCTCCCTCTTCTTTCTGACCTTCTCTTCATACCCGGCTGTGCCCTGTGGGAGCTCCTGCAGCTTCTGCACTCAGCCATCTCTGCTCCAAGATTCACATATGCACACATGGCTCCTCCTCAAGCACTTGTCGTGAGACAGGAAAGAGGCTGCCCCTGTGTGTACTCACACGCCAGCCCCGCATGCCTCGTGCCCACAACTCTCTAAACCAGGTCACGCTGAGACCAGGGCCACGCCTGCTGTGGGAGCTGCAGAGGCTCAGGATCCAAAGCCAGGTCTCCGCAGGGCAGCACGTTTTCCTGACAGCCAGGGACAGGGCCGTGTCCACAGCAGGTGCTCATGAATGCGGCCGCAGCGTTCTCTGGGGTGGGCCATCCAGAGGCTCCCACACATTGGCACAGGGCATGTGCAGAATGTTCTAGAGCCTTGGGTGGTTCCAGCACCACAGGTTTGACACTTGGCTGCAGCGACAATGTCCTTCAGGAGATTTTCATCCTTCCCCTTAAACACTGGTTTCCACTGCCTCTAAATAACTTAACAAAGCTGCTGAAATCACCTTTTCACTTCTCTAAACAGGTTCCCTCGTGTAATTAACAAGAGCCACGGGCTCGCAGCTCCTTCCCTCCCATCCAGTCCCTGCGTCCGAGCAACAGGAGCCAAACAGGAACCCAGGGCCCCGGACTTACTCCACGTCGGCGAATGCGCTGCTGGGCATCTGCAGGAGGCGGGCGACGTCCTCCACCAGCTGCCTTCCTTCCTCGGGGCGCAGGGGGCTGCAGACGACAGCAGGGATGGGGAGCAGTCACCACAGAGCCAGCAGTCCTGGAGAACTAAAGCCCCGTGGCCCCACAGCCCCGCTGGTCCCCACACACACCCTGCTCTCCTGGCCTGGGGTCAGCTGCCCCCTCAGGCACGAGGGGTCACCTGAGTTTCAAGCAACCAGACAAACAGTGCAGTGCAGACGGGGCTGTGGGAAGCGCAAGTGTCTGACCGTGCGGAGACTGGCTCCTCTCGGCCTTCAGTAAAAATACAATAAAGGGGAGAAGGGCAAAGGGACGGACAGGTGCAGCGAATGCTGGGACTCTGACTGAAGACGGGGCAGATCCATGGAGAAAGCACCTGTTTTTAATGGGCTCTGATGTGAACCAGGACCCAATGAGGGGCGATTTAACTACCCAGTGGAAGGGTAAGCGTGGAAACCAGGCAGCCAGCCCACTGGCAGCAACTCAGGGCAGCGGGCGGGGACACTCGTGGAAGCCACTGTGGCCGCAGACTCCCCCCAAGGCCGCCTGGCTGGGGACCTGTTCTGTCAACAGGCACGAGCATCACCAGGGTGGTTTGCAGCTTGATGGCTCATCCTGAAGGCTAGCATTCAGGTTCAAAGTCACGAGTTGCCTGTGAAATCCTGTTAGTACCACTTTAACGGAGTATTAAGTTACACTGTTACGTAAAAGCATGTTGTACTGCAAAGGCTTTCACCCCAGCAGACCGAAACGCCTGCATTCCTCATCCAGTGAGCATGCAGGATGCCAGCAGGGCGCCAGGAGCTGCTTCCTAATGCAGCAATGAACAGCAAGACCAGCCCTGCTCTCAAGGGGTCCACGTTCTAGAGATGCTGTAGAAATCAATCATACTACGATGGGTTGAATTATGTCACCTAAAAATTCATATGTTGAAACCCTAAAGCCCAAATGTGAACTGATTTGGAAATAGGGCCATCGTAGACTCAGTTAAGCTGGGGTCAATAGGGTGAACCCTAAGCCAGTATCACTGGTGTCCATATGAAAGGCGGGTTCAGACTCAGAGACAAACACACACAGCATAGGGCAGCATGAAGACACGGGGAGAAAAGCCCGACAAGCCGAGGTCCTCTCAGGCCAGTGGCAGGAGGGGCGAGGCCGGGAGCAGACCCTCCTCAGCCTCGGGGGAACCAGCCCTGCCCACACCTGGGTCTTGGACTTCCAGCCTCCGGGACGGGGAGAAGATGGATTTCCCACTCTGGAAGTGTGTGCCAGCAGCCCAGGCAGACTAGCTCCTGTCGGCTGACAGTGAGTTCTCTGGGGGAGACAGCTGGGTAGAGAAGTGGCGTGCAGGGCTGGGGAGGGAAGGGCACAGAGGAGAGACTGTCTTGTAAAGCGGGCTGTAGGAGGCCTGTCCAGTGGGGCCCTGTTTGAACAGAGGCGAGGGAGCTGGAAACAGGGTAGCAGACAGTGAGCAGAGAAGGCGAGGGGGCCGCGGTGCCCCATGGTGAGGAGGTGAAGTCACAGAGCATCTGGGTAGGCTTTGGCTACTGCACCACGCACTTCTCCCTGCACATGGGCACAAGTTCTCACTCCATAAGCAGATTCTACCTTGGCATTAACTGCATGAATGAATGAACACAAAAATGTCAAAAACAGCAAAAAGTCCAACAGTTTTAAAATCACTAAAATGTAAACTATTAAATGAACCCCACTCAATTTACAAAGTTTCTGTAAAACTGAAGTAAAGCGGGAATGAGTTTTGGGAAGATGGTGAGTAGGAAGCACCAGGAATCCGTCTCCCACCTGACAACATTGTGCTAGCAGGATCTGTCTGATGTAACCAATCCTTGAACTCTGAAGCCTAATGAAGGCCTCCAACTTCTAGGGGAAGGTCTGGATACACCTTGCGTCAATGTCAGCTTTCATCACAGTAGGAGCTACCCCTACCTCACCTCCAGCCCTATGGCAGGTAGCTGTGCACATGTTCCTGGAGCAGCCTGCACACACTGGCAGGAGCCAAAACAGGCAATACAGATGTTGTCCTCCAAATATTGGGAATCTGTAATCTCACTGCTGATTGCTGCTTCTCATCACAGAGGTGCAGGCAAGGAGGAAGGCACCATTGTTTGGCCACCTCCTCGTTGTTGCTGCTCCTCCCCCTCTGGCCAAAGTGACTTACAGGGGATTTAAAATGCTAATACCCATTTTTTCCACCTTCATTTTTCTCTTTTTCCGCTTTTGGGAGCCAGAAATTAAAGACAAGAATATTCAAAAGTAACTGAATATACAGGGAAAATTAGAAAGTCATCACACAAGCTCAGGGAAAGGCTCAGACAAGACCATAAGTTTATACCTCAGGCTGATCCTTGGCACAGAGACAGCCTACAACAAATTTAAAAGAAAGACAAACAAAAAATAGCAAACCTATGGAAAGACAATCTGATTTCCAGAGTTAGATTAAAATTTTGAGTTTTCAACAAAAATTGCAAAGCATATAAAGAAACAAGAAACTACAGCCCATTCAAAGGAAAAAGGTAAGTCAACAATAATTGTCTCTAAAAAAAGACCTGATGGCAGATGTACTAGGCAAAGACTTTAAAACAATTGTCATAAAAATGCTTGAAGAACTAAAGAAAGATGTAAAAAAGCAAAAAAAAAAATAAAGAATCAGTGAACTTGAAGATAGGACAATGGAAATTATTGAGTCTAAGAAATAAAAAGAAAAAAAGATTGAAGAAAAGTGACAAAATCCTAAGCGACATGTGGGACACCACCAAGAGAACCAGTACATGAACTGTGAGAGGAAATTGTGCCAAGAAGGAAAAAAAAGAGATAAAGGGGCAGAGAAAATACTTGAAGAACAATACCTGAAAACTTCCCAAGTTTGATGAAAGACGTGGATATAAACATCTGAGAAGCTCAATGAACTCCAAGTAAAATTAACTCAAAGAGACACATTTTAACTATTTTTTTTTTTTTTTGAGACAGAGTCTTGCACTCCCAGGCTGGAGTGCAGTGGCGTGATCTCAGCTCACTGCAAGCTCCGCCTCCCAGGTTTACGTCATTCCCCTGCCTCAGCCTCCCGAGTAGCTGGGACTACAGGCGCCGGCCACCTCACCCGGATAGTTTTTTTGTATTTTTTAGTAGAGAACGGGGGTTTCACCGTGTTAGCCAGGATGGTCTCGATCTCCTGACCTCATGATCTGCCCATCTCGGCCTCCCAAAGTGCTGGGATTACAGGCTTGAGCCACCGCGCCCGGCCTTAACTAAATTTTTAAAAGACAAGGACAAATGGAGAATCCTCCTCTTACATTTGAAAGCAGCAAGAAAGAAGCAGTTCATCACACACCAGGGTTTCCAAATATTATCAGCAGAAACTTTGCAGAACAGAAAGCAGTGAACAAATATATTCCAAGTGCTACAGAAAAAAAAAAAAAACAAAACCCTGTGAAATAAGAATCATATATCCAACAAAATTGCACTTCAGAAGTGAAGAAGAAATTAAGACATTTTCTTAGATAAACCAAAGCTGAGAGAGTTTGTTATCACTAGACCTGCCCTGCAAGAAATATTCCAAGGAGACCTGCAGGATGAAATAAAAGGACACTGGACAATAACTCAAAGCCATATAAAAAATTACAATCTCAATAAAGGCAAATATATGGTGAATTATAAAAGATAGTGTTACTGTAACAGTAGTTTGTAACTCCTTTTAGTTCTCTATGTCATTTAAGAGACTAGTATATACCTTAAAAACTATTACTAGATAAAACTAGTATTATTATAACTTTGGTTTGTAACTCCACAGTTTCTTTTCTACATAATTTAAGAAATGAATAAATTTTAAACAATTATTAGTTTATAACCTGGGACATGCAATGTATAAGGATGCAATTTTGTGATATCAATAGCCAAAAAGGGTGGGTAAATAGCTGTAAAGGAGCATAATTTTTGTATGTTATTGAAGTCAAGCTAGTATAAATTCAAGTTAGTGTTGTAATTTTCAGATGTTAAATCTAATCCTCTGTGATAAACACAAAGAAAATAGCTATAAAATATGTATAAAAAGAGATAAAGGAATTTAGGCATTTAATTTTTAAAAATCTACTAAACACAAAAGAAGATAGTAATGCAGAAAATGAGTGGCAAAAAATCCATAATGCACATAGAAAACAAATATTAAAATGACAGAAGTCCTTCCTCATCATTAATTACTTTAAATGTAAATAGGTTAAATTCTCCAATCAAAAGACAGATGTTAGCAAAATATGATATTCCACAGATCTTTTAAGGACTATTTCTATAGTACACAACCAGGGATATCTATTTGCATTAACTGTAAGCATAAACATGACAGTCTTTGTTTTCAAGCATGTCAGTAATGTCTTTTTTGTCGCCCAGGCTGGAGTGCCGTGGCATGATCATTGCTCACTGCAGCCTCGACCTTCCCAGGCTCAGGTGATCCTCCCACCTCAGCCTTCCCATTAGCTGACACTACAAGTTCATGCCAGCATGCCTTGCTAATTTTTCTATTTTTTGTAGACATGGGGTTTTGCCATGTTGCCCAGGCTGGTCTCAAGCTCCTGGGCTCAAGAAATCCACCACCTTGGTCTCCCAAAGCACTGAAATTATAGGCATCAGCCACCACAGGTGGCCAATGTCTGCTTTTAATATAAGAGATAGCACTGTAAGTGTATTATTGCTACATTTTTAGTTTAATGTAAAAGTTCCAATTTTGACTATTAAAGGAAAGTAAAATATTTACATCACTATTTAAGAAACCTCATAATGTACCTAGAGTGTATAGAGTACTCTTAAAACTCAATAACAAAAATACAAACAATACCATTTAAAAATGGTCAAAGGACTTGAATGGACATTCCTCTAAAGAAAATATACAAATGGCCAAAAGCACGTGAAAAGATGCTCAACATCACTAATCATTAGGAAAACACAAATCAAAACTACAATGTGATACCACCTCATACCTATCAGGATGGCCACTGTAAGAAGAAAAAGACCCAGAAAAT